TATCCATTAGCACTTTACTAGAGTTGCGCTATTTCGGGGGGCACTAAATCGAGGTTTTACTGTATTTTTAAAGATGCTTATCAGAAGGATCGATTGTAAACGGCTTAATTTAAAGTCGTAAATATAGAAAATATGTATTTAATTTTTAATCGAGAAAGTAAGTAAAAATTGATTAAATTAAATTTAAATTTATTACTCGCTAAGCTACTTTATAAAATTAAATAATTTATTTTTTTTAATAAGTTGTACATGATTGATGTGTTTTTCTGTAATTTTATTATTTTTTTTTACTAAAAATCATTAACAAAAATTTATAGATTTATTTTTTAGTTTGTTGATTTATTTTTTTTATTTATATAAAGAAAAAATATTTTATTTAGTTTATTCATTAAGCTAAAAATAACTTCACAAAAAATGTTGAAGGGTTTATAAAAATTAACTATACAAAAATCATATTTTATATAACACTAAAAATATTTTTTTAAAGTATTATGTTACAATAGGATTCATGAATGATGACTTTATGTAACAATTGTCAGTTATTTATAACTTGCTAAAAGTCAAATGAGATCACTTCCTTTTTTTTAAAAAAGAAAAAAAAAACAATTTTTTTCTCTATTCAGTTTAAATAAATTTAATATAAATAAATTGTTAATTTCAATATTAGGATTAAAATTTTAATTATATTTATTAAAATTAATTCGTAATAAATTGTATTGTTCGATTATATACTTTATAAATACAATCGAACTTCCTATAATGGACACCTCTATACGGCGGACATATTTTCGTGAATTTTAATTATTTATGCATACAAAATAACCTGCAAACGACGTCCACTTTTTATGTTCCTCTAAAATACAGTTTTTTTTATAGATTTGTATATAAATTTTAACTTTATTAATTTATTATATATTAAAACACAAATTCTTTGTTTATAAACATTTTTTAAATCACATTTAATTACATAAAATAATTATATATTATTTATTTATTCAGTTGAAATGCCTGAAAATAAACGATTTTCAGAGTGTTACCAACTCAGTAACAATGAAAAATATACGTTTTAATTATTTAGAATTACGTGTTCCTAATGTAAATTCATTATCAGTAAATCTTTTTTATATTGTCTAATTGCTATTCATTGTTTTATAAACGTATTATACTATTTTTTTTTTAATCATTAAACTTGATTTCTTCTCTTACAACATTTACTTAAATCTAATTACAGGAAAGAATATATTTATATAAATATATATGCCCTGTAATTATATCATTTGATATATACAGTATACATTTATATATGTATATATATATATATTTTTTAAATTTTTTTAAATGTCAAAATCGATCTTACTACCAAAGATAAAGTATATAAAAGGTTGAACCAAAATCCATAATTTCGATTTTGTTTTACGGTCAATGACTAGCAAGAGTCGTTCGTGAGTGTAGAAGTTTCGATAAAATATTAGAAAGGGAGTAAAGACAATCTTTTATAAAGTCTACTGAATAGCAAAACTTTTAAATTGTTCCATTTTATTACTTTATAAGATATTCATTAAATTTTTTTTAATGGAATAAAGAAGTATATATTTTAGTTAACAGAACTTGTTNTTATTGTTTTTTTTTAGTATTTTTTTCCTCTTATTTTATTATTGAAAATAGATGTTTAACGACTTCAAAGTTGTATAATCACATTAGTCGAAAGCTTAATTATTAAATTATGTATAACGTGATCCTTTTGTCATACTTCCTTTATTAATTATAGCTTAGCAAGTAAGATATTGAAACCTTCCAAAGGAAAAGGATTGATGAGGTTCAAAGAGGAGCTGGAAAAGAAGCCAACAGATGAAGGAGGAAGAAGCCCAATGTCGGAAGTGAATGACGTTTCTCTAAGAGATCATGACGCAATATGGATCGTAATACTTTTCCTTATTGTATTCTCTTTGAGAAAAATATTCTGAGAATATGGAAATATATATTTCCCTTTGGTTTCCATTCGAATGCTATCTATATCTTCGAATATATGTAAAATATTTTATGTATCATTCATACTAGTTTAAAATACATCTAACGTCATTTAGGAATTTTAAATGATAAAAATTCGATAAAATTTAAAGAATTTAAAGATACTTTTTTATATATTTTTAATCAATTTACTTATAAAAATATTAATAGGTTAAAATATAGAGAAATCTGAATGTAGTATAACATAGAAAAGCATCAAAAATAAAATAATAAAAACATGTAAACGATATAATAACTTATATATTTATAAAATTATTAATAATTTATTAATTGGATATTTGATAACGTTGTTATTTTATTCAAAGCATGAAAAAAATAGATAATATTCTTTTAAGAAAAATGTTGTAATTATCGAAACTTTATACTTAATTAATCGACATATAGAATAACCTGTCTTCTAATGATGGAGAATCTTATCAGAGAAAGTACGAGGAGAAGCTCTGTAAAACAAGAAGATGCACGTTTGGGATAAGGACCATTGGGATGGAAGATAGGACATCTAGTGATGGATCCACCTGTCAAATAAAATTATAGAGTGTCTCTTTGGGAAATAAGTGTAGAAAGTGAGAAAATCAGTTTTAAATTTGATGAAATTTTAAAATATTTTGTAATACTCAGCTGTAAGAGAATATTGAATCATGTTGCAAAACATGTTGCCCCCTTTTTTTATATAAGATAATTTCCTGTTTTTAAATTAAATAATGGTATATCTGGAAGAAAATGTAAATATTAAAAAAAAATGTTCTAATATTTAATTTATTTAAAACATTGAAGATTTAATTTTATTATGTTTATAAATGTGAAAAACGAAAATAAATATCTAATTATTCTGCGCTATTCGATCAATCCTAGGAAAGGTTATACGTTATTTATTTCGTAAGGAATTAAATTACTTAATGAAGAAAATTAATTTAAAAAACTTTATTTATAATTTAATAATTAATAAAAAAATTTCCAAAAAGATGATTCGCATTTTAAAAATTAGCTTAAAAAATCACACATGAACTAAATTTCAATAATAATTTAAATAAAGAAATACACTACTGAATCAATTACGGAAATTTATCTTTAATAATTCACTTTAATAATCAATTTTACATTAAAAAAACCTTATATAAATTGTTATTAAAGATATTATTTTTTTTTATTAATATTGATTATAAATTGGTTTTATGTACAGTACATTATAAAATAGTTAATCATTTAAGAGTTTACTCATTAGAAATACTGTTACATAATTTGCTATTTCATCATATTACAAGTCGAACCTCCAATAAAGACCACCTTTAAACAGCGGCCATTTTTTAGGAACGTATTTTTTAAAAACAAAAATGCATAGAAACAACCTCCGAACAGTGTCTACTTGTAAACAACGAACCATTTTTTTAAATATTTCCATCAGTGGCCGTTCTTTGGAGGTTCGATTGTAGTTTACAGTATATAATTAAGCAATTTATTATATAAATTTACTTTAGAATCTCATTTTATATAATCTATATTTATATAAAGGAGAAAAAAAAGCTACATTATCTTGATAAAAGAAGTAAATTTATTATTGCAAATACAAAAACGTTACAGAAAATTTTTAAAAAAAGAAATAATTTTCTAAAATAAACATTCTTTTCTATTAAAATCTACAGAAACCAATTAAATTTCAGTAAATATAGTTTATTCTATATTAAGTAAAAACGTAATAAGAATTTCTAAAGATAATTGCTTAAGTTGTCTAATTTAATAATAAAGAAAATTATATTTTACAACGTCATATAGTTAATTTAGAAGTGTGTAAGAGATCAAAGGAAATTTTATTGCTTACAATCACATCCGAGGTTTCTATTGTAAAGTGTACTGTGTAGTGAGTGAGACTGCCAAAGACAACAAGCCAAAGGGATAATTCTCACGCTTTAATTGACTGCTTCTCAAACTAAGAGGATTTATGTCAGATACTGTTTCGACAGGCCTAAGGGTTGAGAAAACTATTGTTAAGATCTGAAACGTTTGTACCTTACTAAGTTGGATTTTAGTTTTCCTTCTCTAAAGATTTATTAATTAGTGTATTGTTGTAGTTATGGTAAAACTATTGTTTGCTTAATTGTTATAATAACTCCTAGCCGCTCTAAGTATTTAAGGACAACACATATAAATATTCTACATATTCATTAATGGGAGAAATCTATCTCTCTCGTATATAAAAAGAAATATTTTATAAAATGTTCTGTTTTGAAATATATATATATATATATATTTTTTTTTTTATTTATATTTTTAATATTTGTCCATATCAAAAGGATTTCGGGAAATATTCAATATTCTCTCCGTGTTTTTCTCACTTTTTTAAAAGTGCTTTCACTATCTGATATTGTATGTTGTAGTAGTAAAAGTAGAGTTGAATGTTCTTAAATAGGAGTAGAGGAATTTTACGTTCGTTGCTTCTAGCTAGAAACACACACACACACACATATATATATGTTTTTTCGTATAAAAAATAGTAGAAAACAATAATAAAAATAAAGAATTTTATCATAAATATTAAATTTATTAAGAATACTCATAAGGTAAAAAAAAGGTAAACACACTCTTGAATTTTATATATTAAAAATAAAAAAATTAAAAAGAAAAATTCTTTAAAATGTTTCGTCGTTAAACTGGTATTAAATAAGTATAAAAATATTAATAAATTTTACAAAAAAAATTTGATTTTTTAACATCAGAGAAGAGTAACAAAATCAACAATTTTTATTGTTAAAATTTTTAAAAGAGAATTTTCTAGCATAAACATTGCCGTATTGTTATAGTAGAATATATAGTTTATCACGCTTCCAATCTGTATATATTGCCATAAATAACATAAAAATGAATAGTTTTAAATTTATACATGGAGAAAGGAATATATAAGTTCAATGCTTTCTATCTACATCGTTACGTAGCCACCGCTAGATGACGTCGTCTGCCTCCTTCTGGTAAAGCTTCTACTGTGTGACATGCACTAGCAGACGAAGCTGGCGATGCTGTAGGACTATTTTCACTATCATATTGTCGTACAGCACTTCTATACTTTCTATATATTGTTATCATTACCAGGTGGTGGAGACTTCACACTCTCATCACACAGCTGCAATTGTGTAGGGTTATCGAACAGATCGCACTTGTTTAATAGGGTTTTACTTATTGTTGTGGTTGAAGGATTCTAATATTCAATACGTAATCAGGTGAGATAACTTTTAACTTTACTTACTTACATTATTATATATATATATGTATATATATTATAATATTTTTTAATAAATTTTAACAATTAAATAAACATGTTTATTTCGTTGTTACAACGTTGATAAATTGGGTAGAAAGAAAGTTCATTGTAAAACAAAAATTTTTTTTTGTATTTTTAAACCTAGACATAATTAAAATTTTAATTCTTTTCGAGAATATAAAATTACCATTGCGTGCCACTTAGTATTTATAGTGTAGTTAGTTTTAA